TGTGGCTCTTTGAATCTTGAGCTACCTGTAAAGAGTACCTCAGTTTGGGGAGAGCAGGATGAGCTCTGTCCTCTCATACCTCCTTTCCAGCTTCAACTCTACCATCACATTCAGGGCACTCTTGTACAGGCAACAGCTACAGCAAACTGAATTCTGGTCCACAGCTCAGTGGGCAATAGGACTAAAATAACTGCTGAGCTGCTGAAGTTTGGGTCGGGTTTCTTTACCCCTTAGAAATAACAATTAGGGCTGTGATCTACTCTGAATTCCACACTGCAAGGCTGTATCCACATCACACCTTAGAGTGTGGATTTCTCTAAGGAGACCCAGCTGCACATCCTCTCCTTGCACTCAGACAAGACAGTGGAACGTGCCACACTTGCCTGCTCTGGGCACCCAGCAAACACTGCCAAGAACTTCTGGCCCTTGATGACCAGGAGGGTGGGGGTGGCAGGGAATGGCTTTAGATATGAGCATTTTAATTTCAAATATACCTCAGTTTAGGTGTCTGAACAAAACACAAGCAAAAGTGTCAGAAATAACCTAGACAGGAATCTCTAAAACTCAATGTGTTTTTGAATGCAGCAAGCTCATTTCAGACAGATACTGAAGACCTTTACTCCTCTTCTTGTACTCCTCATGCTGCCCACCCCTCACCTTGGAAGGTTCAGGGCAGACTGCACAATCAACAGCACAGTGGATCTCCAACACTAATTCCTCCAATTTGCACACATATCCAAACATGGACCATGGAAGTGATGGCCTTTGGCCAGCTACTCAACATATGGAAAATGCAGAGAAAATGCCTGAGACATAGAAACACAGGAATTCTGTGAAGAGTTAAGGGAAGTGGAACTCAGCTGTCTATCTTCAGTTTCCAGTGCTTAGGTTAATCCTGTTTTCAAAATCTCTCTGTGAAGGTGGAATGCCAGAATTATCTAAGGTTTTTTTCCTCTAGAAGTTTAAAATGTGAAATCAGCAGTTGCTAGGCATCAGTCACAATATTACAATAACTTGCATTCAGGAATAAGATGAAGCACAAATGCACCAGAAACTATAAGAATCACTCCAAAATGAACAGCGTGTGGTAAAAAATAGAAGCTATGGTGAGTCATGTAGAAACATTTGTAAAACATCTTAAATATAACAGTTGGAATTTCAGGCCTCTCAGTGGCTTTTTTATGAATGCAGGCTGACTTTTAACATAACAGGATTTTCAGAAAGCAGACTTGTTTTTGATGGAGAGATGCACAAGAAAACATCCAAATGAACAGATCTACCTGAACAGAAAATACATAAATTGTTTCTGAGGTTTCAATCCCAAAATAATAAATGACAAAATACAATATGCCACAACCACAGGCATTAAAGTAAAAGCATGATTTTTCACTTGACCACCACTACACTCTCCAGCAGAAAGAGTTGGGAATAACTTAAAAGCCACGCCTCTACTCCTGGAAATATTTCTTCATCATTGCTGCATCCCTTTTAGTACTCTAAAGAATTTCACAAACACTGAACAGGTTGGTTCCTTCCCTGCAGGCTTTCCATGGAAGGTGAACCTTTCCTAACGAAATGCTAAACTGACCCAATGCTGTAGCAGCAGAAGGACAAACCAGGCTCTCCACCTTATTCTAGAAAGGACAACTAAAACTGACTAGTTTAGACCTTGCCCAGTTCAATTTTGAGGATATAGTTTCACCAGTCAAAAACTGGCCTATCCACCCACATGCCATCATAGGTCTTAGGAAAAAAGATAATTATAAACAGCAGCCAAGGGTTCCAGATTTACTACAGAAGGTGACATTTTCCAGACTACTGTAAGCTGGGGTTTTTTTACTGATTTCCATTTAAACACCCTTAGCTTAGGCCTACTGGGCCCAGCTCACTCCACATCAAATATAAAGTACTCATTCCTGTAAGCACCAGGCAGAAGCACTTTGGGCAGAGATTAGAATTTCTTCATCAAAAGCTCTCAGAAGTATCCCATGGCATTCCATGTCAAAGCATGTTCCTTTTTGATCGTGGCCTCATGGTTTATGCACTACAGCTCACAGGAAAGCCTTTGCTGATCTTGCTTTGTTAAAAAGCTCCATCTCCTGTAAGGACACCAGGGAAACCCACAGCAAAAGAGCTTCCTTAAACCCCAGTCCTTGACAATGTGCAGTTCCCTTGCTCGCCTTCTGCTCCGCAGTCCTGCTTGTTTGACCTCTGAGCAAAACATTTTCCTAACTCAAATGTTCCTCTCACGCTGGCTTTTCAGTCCTCACCAGCCTTGCTTCCCATCTCCCTAAGGCCCCACTGCTGCCCTGGAGCCAGCTTTGGCTCAGCAGCAAGCCATCACAAAGAGGGCAGCCCTGCAATGTGCACAGCTGCCCGCAGTGCTGCTGGCACCGGGGGCTGCACAGCCCTGTGTCCAGCAGTGACCTGCTGGAAGTGACACAGCCAGCACAGGATGCTGCTTGGATGAGAGTTCAGGGCTCCTGTCTCGTCTACATTTAAACTACTCCCTCCTAGCGAGCAGACTACAGTTTATCAGACCTCCTTAGGGAAAGCAACTGCTGGTCTGGAGGATTGTTCCTGGCAGGGCAACAAACTGAAAAAACTCCCTCTCAGGTATAGTTACCACCATTTTTATAACAGCAATTACTATCAGATTTCATCTGCAAACAATGCATTCTGAAGCTGTTCTCTTCATGCTTGGAGAAGACAAGTATAATTTACGTTCATAAATCAATCAATTCCTGAAGGGGAGATCAGGATTTACCACAGGGCTGTCAAGCCAGAATCCATGAATACATAGATTTTCTTTTATCGAGTCAAGAAGCAACCAGCCCTCCAGCAGTGCCTCGACTGCAAAATCAGGCTCCTGGCTCACTCTAAATGTAACCTCCCACACGTAAAGGCGCATCCCGTTGGCAAAGCCTGCCAGTGGACTTTGCCAGGTCGGCAAGGCATTCCCCGAGTTACACCAGGGCCTCCCAGAGACCCTGCCAGCAGCCCCTCAGTGACCCCAAAACAGTCACAGGAACTCACAGCGGCAGCTGAAGCAAAAGCTCCTTCTCTGCTCCTGTAACTGAGCGTTCCCAGCTCCCCATTTCTCAGGGAAAACTCATTCATGCATGTGTGTCTGCCTGGGAACACCAGGCTCAGAACAAACAGCTCTTTCCCAGCAGCTCAGCGCAGGGGAAAGGGAAGCCTTAGGGTTGCAGAGGTTCATGCTGGAGGTTACAATCCTTGTTAGCAAGAGGAAACACAGGTTGCCTGTTGTGCTTGCAATTCTCAAGGTTAACCCTTCAGACAGCTTTATCCCTTCATTTTCCTGCATTTCCTAGAAAATTAGAGAGGTAATTTGTACCTTTCTGTTTCATAATTCACAGCAACTAGTAGAATAATGATAGAAATTTTAAAAGAATAAATGTGACCAGACTCCTTTTCAATAGCTATGGAGCAATCAAGAGGAACGCCAGCTAATACTGTTCCTTCAGCTTGTCCCTAACTTTGGTACTCAACAACAAAAAAAAATCCCAAACAAACAGTCGATATTTGCCAAATATCTTTTGTCTCACATTTCTCATTGTGCCAAAGTGTATTTTCTGTTTCTATTAACAGACTCCCTAAGATTCAGTCAAATTAACCTTATTTCTACAAATACACGTGAGCATTCCCATAACATCAAAGATGGGAATGTGAAATTACTCTGCATTATATTGCACTGAGCACAGCTATGAGAATTTTTAAAAAAATCAATTGCAACAAAGGTTTAGCCTCGAGGCAAAGGTCCTGAAATTAGCAGCTTCAATGCTGAATGCCAAGTGGGCAAAAGAAGTAGGGCATCCCTGTTGAATGGGGATGCCTGCACCTGCCCACACACTGGAAATGGAAAGGGATGCATTATGAACCTAAACACAAGCGAACCTAAGCATTTCTAAACCAGCTTTCCCGACGGGATTGCATGCGCTCCGCATCTCTGTGCATCACGTTCACTTTAGCTCACTGTGGATCACACGAGGAAGGCGCAGCTCGGCAGCCAGCGGCAGGGGAGGGGGCTCACCCCGAACCACGGCTCTGTCCCCCGGCACCACGCACAGACCGCAGCACGCCTCAAGTCCTCTGCTGCCAACTTACTTTCCTGCTTCCCTCCCTCACTTCCCCGCCAAGGTTACTCTCCTAGCTGTCACAGAAGACCTTTCTTCTACTGTTTTATGTCCACTTATTAAACACCCTCCTTCCTGCCAGGGGGAGCCCAGAAAGCAAGCTGGATACCCTCTGCCCCGAGCGTTTGCCAGTTCCCAGCAAAATGAAACAAAGCCCTTCACCAAGGGGAGGCAATGAAGACAAAAACAGGTTCCTTCACAAAAGAGACTCCTGAAAGGGCGTCCAGTCGTTACACAAGCGATTTGCTGCTCTTAAGAGCGAAAGGCTTCAGAAAGGCAACTCCACGTGAAGAAGCCGGCTCTGGCTTAATTCATTAGCGCCAAGGTAAAAACTGAAGGATGGCGAGTCCTGATGTGAGTTTGCCCTACAGGGAGAGGGATGCAGCATGAAAAAAATAAACCAAGGAGCACTTTTCAACCCAGTTTTGACAAAAACACAGGATCCCTTATATAAACCTTAAACTTGCCTCGCTCGGCAGCAAAGTGAGAAAACAGCAGTAAAAAGTTGGGGGAGTATGGAGAGGACGGACAAGAAAGTTAAAATCATGAGAGCGGTGGTCACACAGAGGCAGCCCCGGGGAGCCCGGGTGAGGCACGGGCACTTCAAGCTCTTCGGGCGGGGAGAGGGCTCGACTCCCCCGTGCCCGGAGTCTTTGGTTAAGGGACACCGAGTTCGCCTCAAAGCGGGGATGGGAACAGCTCGGCGCGGGAGCCTGAGGAGGGGGAACGGCAGGAGCCAGGGGGAGGCGGGGAGAGGCGGGGAGCGGGGATGGGGACGCGGCGGGCGGCTGCGGGGAGCGGTGGAGCGTGGCGGCCGAGCGCAACCCCCTGTCCCGCACGCACCTCCTGGAACAGCTCCAGGCTGTAGGTGTTGTCATCGTCGGCGAAGAAGAGCACCCCGGGCTGCGGGGGCGGCAGGTGCTGGTGCCGCTGCCGCAGCCAGGCCAGGCCGGCGTTGCGCTGCTCGGTGGCGCGGGGCAGCCCCGGGCGCTTGTAGCGGCGCGGCGTGGGGACGTGCAGGTGCGTGCAGGGCAGCCCGGCGCCCGCCACGAAGCGGGTCACCAGCTCGCTGCGCGCCGCCGCGTCCTCCACCAGGATCCAGTGGAGCCGCGACACCTGCCGGAAGGTGTTGGCCAGGCGGGTGAGCTCGGCCTTCTGCACCGGGCGGCTGTAGGTGGGCGTGATGGCATAGATGGTGGGCAGCGCGGCCTCGGGCCGCCGTCGCGGGGCGGGCGGCCGCGCCCCGCCGCTACCGCCCTCCGCCCCGCCGCGGGGGGACAGCGCGGGCAGCGGCGCCCGGCTGCTGTCGATGTCCAGCACGATGATGACGATGAGCACCCAGGGCAGCAGCAGCAGGAAGCGGCTGAAGAGCAGGGACTTCATGCTGCCCCCGGCGCCCTCCCGCCGCGGGCGCCGGGCGCTCCCTCCCTCCCTCCCGTGGGCGCGGGGGCCGCCGGCGGGGTGGGACGGGGAGCCCCGCGGTGCTTGCGGCAGCCCCTCGGGGCAGCTGCCGGCCCCGCTCCCGCCGCTCCTCTATTCCGCGAGCGGCCGCCCTTCCTCCTCCTCCTCTTCCTCCTCCCGCTTCGCCCTCGGCATCGCCGGACCGGGGCTCGGCGGGGGGCTCTGGGGAGACGCTCCTTCTCCTCCGCTTCCCCGGGCGGCTCTGGCGGTGCGCGGGGGCGGAGGGGAGGGCGGGC